CCACTCCTCCAAGATAGGTAAGCTACCTAAAGCTCCAGCAAAGAAGTTGTGGCTCCTCATAGCCTGCAGAACATTGTCACCAAGAGAGCTGGGGGGAAGGGAGGGAAGCACCCTAGGCCAAATTTCACCTGAAATTCAGGTTTTTGAGCATAAACTCTTTCCAGATTGTTGTATGCCTCTGATCAATTTCCAGAGTGTTAAAATGGTTGTTTTTGTCGATTCTGTACAGCTTTATAGTCAATTTCCGTGGGAGGGTTTGATGATCTCCTCACTTAACCAACTTCAAGAGGTTTCTTTTGAATATAAAATACACATTGGGAGACTAAGTCAGAAAACTACCAAGTAAAAGGGGGGGGGGGGCCGATAGAAAGAAGAGAGAGGGTGAGAACGATCCTCTTTATGACTCTGGATGCTCCAAATCGGCCCTCTATAATACAAATAATACCTTGGTGATTTTAATTCACCAGTTACTTTAAAAGAAAAGAAAATTCTCCGCCTAGACACTACCTCTAGAAACTGCCCCTAGCCTTCAATATGGCCAAATTGGATCATAAAGAATAAAATAACATGAAAGAGAAAGAGGCAGATCTAAATTCTAGAAGTGGAATATTATCGGTGGTACAAATAGGTTAATATAGCCATACTCAACAATATGAATCTCTCACAAACCAAATGAAAGAAGACAAACAGAAGGTACCTACTACAGAATTTCATTTATTTAAAAGACAAAACCAGAAATCTAATCGATGCTGTCCAAATAGCAGCTACCCTTGGAGAGACAGTGACAGCAAGTGGGAATGAGGGGATTCTAGGGTACTAATCCAATTCCGGGTTTAAGTAACAAGCACATTTGATTTGTAAACAATCAAAGTATTACATTCATATCTACGTTTCATTATGTATGCTATACTGCAATTAAAAAGTTAAAGGGAACTTTTCAAATTAAAAAGACCAAGTGAACTTCTCTCTATAGAATCATTTAAAACAGGCCTGTTAGTCTTACATAGACACAGTAAAGTTTAAGGCAGAGTTTCAGCCACCCTAAACTGCAGTCAGAAATGACTATCGTCGAACGGATCACTGAAGACAAATGGGTGCATAAGCAAATGTGGCGAAGAAAG